CACAAGTCTATATATCAAGAAAGAGTTGGTGGTTTCTTTACCTGTGTGAAATCCTGGTTAATATCAACGTAGCATTCATTCATAGAACCGATTAGTCATGTGAAACACGTGGTCGAAACACGAGCGAACTGCGAACCGTCTACCCTCCAAGTCGACATTTAACAATTATTTAAAATAAGAATTTATACTTTTTCTTTAGATAAATTAAGGGACTTGGAAACTGAGACGATGCACAGCATACTGATCACTATCAGGAGTGTCTCGAGACATTGCCACGAATTCACCACTTTCTTATTCGAATCGCTATCGCAATTGAAGACAGAGAAGGGCAAACAAGTGTCAACTTGGTGCAGACAGGTATATGAAAGGGTGCTCGATCCACATCGTCTAGAACATCTATGTGATCTATATCCAACTGCAGGTGGAGATTTCTTGATGGTTGTTCTCATTAAACTTTTTTTTCTTGCACTTTATTATCCTGGATCACTTCATTTTGTTGCATTAATCCCTGTTGAACTTCATCTGGATTAAAACTTCCCCAATATAACAGCAAAAATGTGCAGTGTTTTCACATTTTTCTTGGTATTAAACCTCGACCTGCGTCAGAGTCCCATGAAATAGCCAGATGGTCCCATAGTGCTTACTTTTTCAGCCAAACTCTCCAGAGTTTTAGGATATCCACGTTCATATGGTTGAAAGTGCTGTGTTGTGGAGGGTTTTGGCTGGTGTGTGATCACTGGTGGTGGTGGTGGCTGGTATGACCAGTGTCCCTCTGGTCTGGAGTTGTAGTACAGATCACCATTGCTGGATCCTAGGTCCTGACTAGAGCCCAGACCTGTCAGTCCTAACTTAGATCTGGAAGGCAGCATCTCACGACCATCTCCAAGTTTACGATTGCCATCTCTGGAATTATGTTGATTAAATTATGTTAAATTCAATGGAAAGAGCAATGGAAAACGGTTTCTACATTTGTTTGGGACTAAATGAAACCAGTTACAATGAAGTTTGAATTAAAATAAAAATATATCAATCTAAAAAGAGTGTTATTAAGTCATTGTTATTTCACAGAAATTCTTGAAAATTGTAATTGTTTAAACACCTGACGTGATTGCTCATTGCATGGTCACTCTCATCCTCATTCAGCTCCCTTTTGATCACCACAACAGGTGGCGCCTTATGTTCTGTTTGTCGACTATGCGACACTGGCTGATGTTGGCCGTGTCTTGTCGCCAGAACGAGCCTCCTGGGTATCGACATGATGATCACTACGTCGTCCAGGCTCATGTGTGTCACGTCGACCAGATTCACCGCCAGTATTTCGTCCCCAACCTAATTAAAGAGAATAAAAAAAAAATAAAAATCTCACCTAACTCCAAGTAAAATCAAATTATTGTCATATTATTTTCACAGATAAATTGAAAAGTCAGTGGATCCTAATTGAGTAAAGTGTCTGGAAGATAAATGCAACACATTGTAAGGTTAAATTGGCCACGCTTGGTGGCACAGTGGCAATTAAACGGTTTCAGGGAAGGATATGCTTCTCACTTTCAAGCAGCCACTGTTGTACACCGCGGTCTCCAGAGCTATCCTCGAGATAAAGACGCCGTCGTTCCTGTCGACGCCGTTGCCCTCTCGTATGTAGAGTCCCAGCGTCTGTCCAGGCCTTTTGATTATCTCGACAAAGTGGATGGGTTGTTTTGGATCCTGAAACACACCGTGTCACCGAGATAATATCCCAAGAATATCAGAGAAAATTTTATTTTTTTAAATAAGGATTAGAAAACAAGTTAAATATTTGCCTTCTTCCTTAGAAACTGGTTAATTGAAGTTGTATGGAAATTACTCAGAGGGCCCAAATTTGAATAAAATGTAACATTGTCATAGAAATTTTTATAAATTTAGCTCTTATTGTGAGGAATGGGAATATTATACTTGCACAGTCCTTCATAATTATTCTTTCACCTATTTATTCGTATTGTTCTCTATTTTAAATAATTTACAATTGCTCAGTGTCTTATTGTAAATTTTTTTTGCAAATTAGACATATTGTTAGATAAAGTACAATTTTATCCCAGAAACTTTGCCTTTATGTTTCCTTTAAAAAATTAGCTATATATTTTTGAATGAAACGAAAGGAAATTGTTGGCTAAATGATTATGAGGGATAGTGTATAGCTTCAGATCTACACCTGCATGGCGATGAACTTCTTGCCCGCTTCGGCCGCCTGCCTGCCCATTTGTCGTGGCTCGATGACCCGGACAACCATTTCACCTCTTCGTTCGACAGTTTCGAGGGCCGCTGCTGTCGAGGCGTCATGATCGTTCTCGACGGTCTCGATCTGCTTGAAAATTTCTGTACTGATCCCGCTCACCTGCAACGACAAGTCCTTCCACTTCAACCCAACATATCATATTCAAGCATCTTTATATTTAGAAACTATTCCAGTAATCAGAAAAATAATATTAATATTTCAAGAGACTTTATGCTTAACATTTTACACTATAACATTTTGTAAAGCTGTCAATTATAATGCAAACACTTAATTCTATGTTCTTTTAATTTTAAGTAATACACCATAAAGTGATGTCTATATCTGTATTGACTGATAGATCCACTCCTGTTGCTGGAATCGTTTCATGGAGAAGGTGAATTGATCTGGTAGTTCCCCCTAATCTGATTCTTATCTTCCACTGGTCTATCCTGTCTACTTTATTTTTGTTCCAGTAATTAGATTTATCAATTGCCTCCTAAGAGATCTAATCATCCCTTAGGATCAGGATGTAGTAGGATATCCAACCTTTTTCTGTGGAATTTCTTTCTCTAAAAATGAGGAACATCGAAGATGATTTCTTTCTTACAAGAAAGGATAGAGTCTAGTGAATTGCTGGAGACAAAAATTGTCATTGGTGCCAACTACCTTTCTGAAGTCTCCCTGAATGACCATTGGGGGTGGTTCCTTGGGGCGCAACTGGTTGGCAGGTGCTTGCCTCCCAGGACTTGCGCTGATGTCTGTCACTTCCCCCCGGCCCTCCTGCAATCAAATTAATACCATAATTAGCACCACAGTTAAGCATCACATTAAATCCTAACCTAACCTATGATCGTCATATTGCAAGAGTGCTCAAAATCTGTCTTAAGCATAAAGAGATGTAAAAATTTCATTAGCAGTAAATAGAGATTACTTCTAATTAACTTTAAATAAGTAAGAGCATCCAAGTGTGTTCTACATTAAAAAAAAAAAAATACAGAAAATTCATTAGGTCAACAATTTAACGAGGAAGTAAAGCCATATATATCCTATAGCAGGTATCTAAAATACCAAAAGAATATTATTAACCCTAAAAAAATTTGTAAAAGTTATCTAATTTTTTTTTCGTAATCTGTAGTTGTCACATCAGAAGAGCGTTCAAAGCATTTCAACTGCAAAAGAATTCATCAGTTCAATAGTAAGGCTTAACCAAGACCACATGTCCTCCAAACACGTGACCGAAGTATGAAAGAAAATTTTCTTTTCAACAGATTCCCAAGTTGTACATTATCTTTTAATATTACAACAGAATAACCGTTCGCTGGAGCACGGAGGATTGCATTGGGATTCCTCCATTGGCTTAAAAGCCCCGACTAAATCAGGCTAAACGTGACAGGGAATTTCTTCGTGTCGGTTGCACGCGAGATTCAATCAGCGGGCTGATTAGAGGCTCGTGAAAATTGCAGGCGCCCTCTCTCTCGTGGAAATTACGTGGGGACAATCAGAAATGCACACGTCCCATAGAAAAAATTGCTTCATTCTTTTGTCGGTCACCAATGCAAACCCACCAACCAGGTGCGTATAGATGATAATCAGACCTTGTGCAAACAGTAATTGTAATTTTCTTAAATTTTTTCCACCTTCAATGGACTTATTACTAGCTTTATGTATCAACAGTGGATTTAATTGACCAATTAATGTTTTACAACTAATTCTAGCTCTGTTATGCTTGCAATTCCTTGTTGCTTATAAATTAGTTAGGCTAGGTTCCTTCAATTTTGTGATTGTTTTTCTGTATTAGAAGATAATAAATTAATTATACTAATTTAAACTAGCACAATAATTGGTGATTTGGTATTTCTCACATACACATTGCTTGTATAGATGGTAGAAAAATTTATCCTCTGGTAATAATACTTTTTCTTCCTGGGAAGACACTTTACAATGAGGTAAATATTAAATTCCCTCAATTGTGCACATCTTGAGACCAATAAGCTTTCTTAAGCTGATCAGGGTATGCAAAAGTACAGTTGATACAAGTACCTGCTGATAGAACTCATTAAGAGTAGCAAACAATACCTGAGAGGCAACCGCTTGTTAAGGAAGGTGCTTCAATTAGAATCAGTCAGAGACAGCAATGTTCCTTTCTGTTACAGCAGGGAACTTAAATCTTTATGCAATAGTAAGCTCACTGATGATCTGCAGTTGGCCTAAACTTGGTAGTTTAGATGAAATTTTTTTAGTTTTAATGTATATGTACATGGGCACATCATGCTCTAATTTTCTGGCAATTTGAGGAAGAAATTGGACTTATATTCTCAGATGTAAATTATCCTGGTATTCTAAGGGTAGTACTGATAAGTATCTACAGTACTATGGTGATTTCAGTATTAATAACACCCACTGATCCAAATCTTCTTCCAATCTTAGTCTCTAAATAATCAAGATACAAATTTCTCAAAAATCGTAATCTTCCTTAGATTTAATGTTTTAGTGGGTAAAAAATTTCAGAAAATCTCCGTACATATTAGCCTACTAGCCTACAAAGAATACCCTCAGGGTTGACAATGCCATCATTCAACAACCCCACAATGTACCCACCAATAGTACACCACTCTACACACCCATGGGCCAACCACATGTTAATCACCATAAAGGGATCTCCCTCTCTTCCAACTTCCTCCACCATTTCAAATCCCATCACACCAATGCACACATCCTTTGAGATACTTTCTCTCTCTCTCTCTCTCTCTCTCTCTCTCTCTCTCTCTCTCTTACACCTTGCTAGCTACACATCCGTGAGGACACGCACCCCGTGGAGGCATGTAAAGAGGATGAGCCACGCGGCGCGGTCGCAAAGTGCCCTTTTGTTCGTTGACGTCTCCTCTTGATGATGATGATGGCCACCAGTGACCAACAGCAGCTCCTCAGCCTTGCTGGTGCACCCCTCCTCGTCGACCTCAGTCGGTGTCCAGGCCCTGTGCTCCTCAAATCGTCGTCTGGAGGGCACCAACTCCGTTATTCTGGTCGCTGTACCCCTATCCATGCGTGGGCATGCACACACGGTGCTCCAAAAAGGAGTAGCTAGTGTAGAACACGCAGAGGTAGACAACTGGGCCACCACCTCCTCCTTCCCTCCACCCTTTTTCTTTTACCGGTGTCCTCACCGTCACTGGGAACCGAATTGAATACGATTTTTGAGGGAGCCTAACTGACGACGAGAAGGTTAGGCTCGAGTGTCCAATCACGCGACACAGGTACGACGAGGATCACCAGTTTCGCGGCGGTGAAGAAGAAGCAGCAGCCACACATCCTCGCCTACCCCATGCTGGCTAATATGGCGGGAAGGAGCGCTCAGGAGCGTACGAGGGTGCGCCTGCGCCCCCACGGCTCAGAGAGACGACGACGCCGGGAGAGAGCGGAGTGTGGGTGAGTATCGACCCGACGTGACGTCACCTGACTCCCTTCTCCCCATTCTCCGGCAACCCCTATCCCTATCAAGTTCTAGCCTACGAGCAGGGCTGGCTGGCAGGCTGTGGCTGTAGCTGCTGCCCCGATCGCTCGCTCTGTCTATCGCGCGCATTCTTGGTTACGCTGCACTCGGTTCTCGCTCCGACCACGTCTCCTCCGGATACATTCTACGTTTCCTCGCGGGCTATATGTTTAGACCTCCTCCCTCCCCTTTCTTTCGCAATTTCTGTCTCTCCTTCTCTTTTTCTCTCAATTTCTGAGGGAAAGAAGTCTCTCTCAATTTCTTTTTGTCTCTCTTTCTTTCTCTCGGTGAAGAAACGTTTGATTTCTAACTACCACTGCACTTTCTGAGCCCCCATTTCTTTGCAACTCAGGCTTCTCTTTGAATTCCTTGGTTGTTGAATTGTTTGAGAGGTGGGCCTCTTCTTTGGGCATTAGGTTGAACAGCTTCTCTTTGAATACCGAGTTGACCGTCCCCCTGGTTTTGATTTTGGATCTTTGTGTATTAGATTAGGTTTCAACATTGGACTTCTGACGATTAAAATTAAATAGTCTAGCCTTGAAACTGTAACGATTAAAAAATTTCTTAAAATATCAGGACACGCTTCCCCTTTCCATTTAAGTTTGCAGTATAAAAACAGAAAGCTCTAAGAAAACGTAAGATTACCATATCAGACAGAAAATAATCTGTTCCAATAAGGTGCAAAGCTGGAACTGGGATCCTCCGCTAATCTCCAAACCTGTTTTCCTTTCCAGCCCACTAGACACTGCCTCCACATCTCACTCTCTATCTACTGCTCTTCATCATCTCCAGCTATCAATACTCCTTTGTGCTCCTCCTTTCTTCATTTCTCACGATTTACGCCTATCTTCCCCTTCTTCACCACGCCCCTCCATACTTTATATTTGTCACCCTTCACAGTTCGAATCCTCAGTCATCGATCTTCCCATTATTTTTACTTCGGCCCATTTC